CCTCTCCCTCCCTCCCTCTATCCCTCTCCCCTCCCCTTATCCTCTCTACCTCTTATTTACATATTCAATCAGAATCATTATTGTTAAGTAGATGATTTACTGTTATTCATTAATTTTTATGTCATAGGAAACAACATATGCTGTATAAATTTTTGTTTGTTTTCAGGTGAAAAGCCATACAAATGCACATTTTGTAGCAAATGCTTCGGTGACAAATCAGCCTGTAACAGCCATATCCGTGTTCATACAGGGGCTGAGCGGTGCATGTGTCACATATGTGGGGCGTCATTTTCTAAGCGCCAGAAGCTGACATACCATATGCGTAAGCATACTGGTGAAGGTCTTCTTCATTGTCCTCTTTGTACAAAACCCACAACAAATTCTTATGCATTGAAAAAACACATGGAAACACATCAGCAACCTCTTATGAAAGTCTTGAGTAGCATAGGTATTGCTTCAGTGATGGAAGACTTCTCAGAGATAACTCTTACAGCATTACACAACCTGGCTCATTTGGCAATCCAGAGGAGCTCAGATTTTGCTTCTAAACAAAAAGCAAATAAACAGGAAAGAACCAGCAAGGATATGAATATCCAAGGAAGTGATATGTGCAAAGAAGACTTAAAATCTTCAGTAGCAGTTCAGCAAGAGAGCATTACAAACCATAAATTTAAACGCATGACTCAGAAGCAACATTATAGTAAGTCTAAAACAGAAAATACAGAAATAGATTCAAGAGGACTGAAAGCTGGAGAATGGAACAAGAATAATAAAACACCATCTGATACAATTAAAGTAGATAATCATGAAAGACATCTTTTGAAAGATTATTCCAGGAGAGATGATAATACCTTACAGATTAATAATCCTGATGAAATTTTGCCTGAAAAATCTGTTGTTTTGATTGAAAAAAGCAAAGAGAGAATGGCTAAAAGTAAGAAAAATGGTTTAGTTGATAATGACACAGAGCAGCTTGAATTGATAAACAGTGAAGGATCAACTGTAGAGCAGGAGCAGACATTTGGGTCACTCATCTTGCAGGGGACCCCAGCAGTTGTACTCATGCAGCTGATAGAAAACATTGTAGAATCTCATTTTGGATCTTTTCCTGCCGAGGAAGTTCGACCAACACTTGGAGATCAGTTAGTAGAACAGTGCCTAGAGGTAATGATGCATGATGACACCTCAAGATCCAGTGATGATGGTAAGAGTGGAGATGCTTGTGCTGAGTCTAGTTCAGTACATGATTTATGTTTGGATGCAGATGAACAGAATATATCAAGAGCAAATAATAACTCCAACGATAAAGAAAAAATATTTGATGCATTTACGGCTGATACTTTGTTAGATTCTAATACACATATAGATGATCAGTTTCTTTCAGGTGAAAGTGAAAGTGATTTTTATGTATATACTGACAATACTGATTTCTTTGACACAAAGTCTAAGAACAGCATAAAGAAAGAAAAGGGTGAAAAGTATGATAGTACAACTGATAATAAGGATATGGGTTTATTTCAAAGGGAGGTTCTAGGTGATGACAGTAGTGTATTTTCCTCATCTACAACTTCAGGAACATCAACTGAGATTATGCCAATATACACAGAAACCAGATTAACCCATGAAGATGTAATACTGTAATCTTATAACTAAGATGGAAAATAGTTATCTCAGGAAGATGTAAAACCTCAAGACATGAAGAGCAAGATTGTAAAGGTACATGTACATCTTACAAATCATCTGGTGCAATTTAGAAAAGATAACTTTGTAAAGCAGATTGTTTTAGTATAGGAAATAATAAAGTTAGATGAAAGTGGGAGTACATTCACTGATGAAGAAAGTACTAACATGCATTGTAGAGGGATGATTGCATTTATAGTGTTACATTGTATGAAGAAACTTAACAAAGGACAGCTCATTTAATAATTCAAACATAATATTTGAGCTTACCAGATACAGACACGAGAGAGAGAGACAGACAAACAGACAGACAGACAGACAGAGAGAGAGACAGACAGACAGAGAGACAGACAGACAGAGAGAGAGAGAGAGAGGAGAGAGAGAGAGAGAGAGAATGAGAGAGAGAGAGAGAGAGGGAGGGAGGGAGGGAGGGAGACAGAGAGAGAGAGAGAGAGGGAGGGAGGGAGGGAGACAGAGAGAGAGAGAGAGAGCGAGAGAGAGAGAGAGAGAGCGAGAGAGAGAGAGACAGAAACACACAGAAAGAGAGACAGACAGACAGAGAGAGAGACAGAGAGACAGACAGACAGAAAGAGACAGACAGACAGACAGAAAGACAGACAGACAGACAGAAAGAGACAGACAGAAAGAAAGAAAGAAGGAACGAGAGAGAGAGACAGACAAACAGACAGACAGACAGACAGAGACAGACAGACAGACAGAGAGAAAGAGACAGAAAGAGAGAGAGAGAGAGAGAGGGAGGGAGGGAGGGAGACAGGGAGAGAGAGAGCGAGAGACAGACAGACAGACAGAAAGACAGACAGACAGACAGAGACAGACAGACAGGCAGACAGAAAGAGAGAGAGACAGACAGACAGAGAGACAGACAGACAGAAAGAGACAGACAGAAAGAAAGAAAGAAGGAACGAGAGAGAGAGACAGACAAACAGACAGACAGACAGACAGCCAGAAAGAAAGAAAGAAAGAAGGAACGAGAGAGAGAGACAGACAGACAGAAAGAGAGACAGACAGACAGAAAGACAGACAGACAGACAGAAAGACAGACAGACAGACAGAGAGAGAGAGAGAGAGCGAGAGAGAGAGAGAGAGAGAATGAGAGAGAGAGAGAGAGAGAAAGACAGAGAGAGAGAGAGAGAGGGGGGGAGGGGGGGAGGGAGGGAGAGAGAGAGAGAGAGAGCGAGAGAGAGAGAGAGAGAGGGAGGGAGGGAGGGAGGGAGACAGAGAGAGAGAGAGAGAAAGAGAGAGAGAGACAGAAACAAACAGAAAGAGAGACAGACAGACAGAGAGAGAGAATGAGACAGAGAGAGAGAGAGAGAGAAAGACAGAGAGAGAGAGAGAGAAAGAGAGAGAGAGAGAATGAGACAGAGAGAGAGAGAGAGAAAGAGAGAGAGACAGACAGACAGAAAGAAAGAAAGAAGGAACGAGAGAGAGAGACAGACAAACAGACAGACAGACAGACAGAGACAGACAGACAGACAGACAGACAGAAATAAAGAAAGAAAGAAAGAAGGAACGAGAGAGAGAGACAGACAAACAGACAGACAGACAGACAGAAAGAGAGACAGACAGACAGAAAGAGACAGACAGACAGACAGACAGAGACAGACAGACAGACAGAGAGAGTGAGAGAGAGAGAGAATGAGAGAGAGACAGAGACAGAGACAGAGAGAGAGAACGGTATATATACAGTATATGTACTGTATATATATACATGAATACATTTATACTTTACAGAATGATTTTCCAGAATTGTTCTGGGATATGATTTTTATGTGGCTTGTAGTATATTCCTTTGATGAACATGGCAATATTCATAAACCTGATCTTAGGTTAATATTGAAAGCATTGCTTTTGACATTCCAATTTAGATATTTCCACAATATTTAAGAAACTAATTTTGAAAAAAAAGTAGGATTAAGAAATAGAATTTTAAGTTTAGGATGTATATTTTTATGTATAATAGTTTTATTTTAATAGGTGCTACATATTTATCTCTTAGTGTGCAATATTCTTGCTGTTTTTCTGTTGTTTTGTTTTTGTTTAGACAAAAGGCAGCATAGTGATTTAGATATTTTATAATTTTGTTTCTATTAAACATGATGGATATATAGTAAATATATACCTCACAGTTGTCTGGCATTTTTGACTGACAGTTTTTAATGTTTCCTTGAATGTTTTTTCCCATCTTTTTGAGTTTGTAAATCAGAAATGAAGACTGATATATTGTATTGATATTTTACCATGGAACGAAGAGTCACTCTTATTCAATATTTGAATGTTTACTTTTGGGTTGTATTGTGAGATAATGAATATTATATATGTAAATATATATATATATATATATAT